ATCTTTAGATATATAACATCAGGAAAAAAGACATCAAGGAAATAATGCAGGGAACAGTCACAAGGAAGGTATTAAATGGGCAGAGGCATTTAACTATAAGAAATAGACTATTTTTCTACTACTCAGAGAAAACATACAGTCTGTAGCGAGGGAATGGGGATTCTTATCGTGATTTATGCTGCAATCCTACACCTACCTACTTGAGAGTATGCCTCATTGAACTCCATGTTACTTACTTTGGAATGTGTAAGTGCACTGCTGTTTAGTAACGTAACCTTTCAATCTATCAGGAATGCCATCCTTTTACCACAACTCTGGTTACAACTACTGGAATGTTGCTGCACTTAATCTCATTTGTATTCAATATCTTCAAAATATGCTTTACTAATTGCAGTCAACAAGCATACCTATGGCATTACCGAGGATAATGTTTTCAGCATCAGACCCACTGCAAGAAAATATCTGGATGTGGGATGGAGGTATCACCAATGTGCAGAAGTCCTGCTAGTCTTTTTCATCTGATGCAGATAAGGCAGGGAGTTTTCTGCATCTGTTTTGGGCAGGCTAATGGGCTGGATGAAGGCTACTAAATTGGCTTGTAGTTCGGACAAAGTAAGATACAGGTTGTGGGGTAGGCTGAGAGTTTGTCTGGTTAAGTGGTAGTCACTCTGTCCTGGTGAGGGTTGCATTCCCCGTAAAAGATCAGATTTATCGTTTGGTGTGCTTCTACACCTACCACTGTCATTGCAGACACAGGTGACTTTGGCTTGGAACACATTTCATAAACTTAGCATGATACACTAACTTTGGTTTGGGACACTTCTATCAGCTGAAGTTGATACACTATTGCCCTTCTTGAAAAGAGATAACCTTGCAACAGTTATTCACAGTCTAATAACCTGTTTGGATGATTGCAATGTGTTATAGATTGGGCTGCCTTTGAAATCTGTCCAGAAACTTTTGCTAGTGCAGGATAGGGCAATAAAACTATTTGAAACTGTTTTATACTTGGCCACCTGCACAGCCATCAGTCCATTTTCAGGCCCGATTCAAAGGGCTGGTCTTAACCTTTAATGGCTTGGGGTCTGGTTACTGAAGATGTGTCTCTTCCAATATCTACCTTCCTAGACCCTGAAGCGATGGTCCAAGGTACCTGCCCCAGTGGAATATTCTGTGTTCTGAAATAGCAGGCTTATCATAGTGAGCCACTACAGAGCACAATTCTCTGTAGAAGCTCTCCTCAGAAGTAAGTTACCTATGTATGCAGTGGGGACTTACTCCCAAATATATGCACTGGCTGCAGGTGTGGAGTATAGCTGGGATTATGGAAGTTATAGTCCAAAACATCAGGTTGCCCACCTCATATTACTGCAAGTGCATTTTTTCCTTAATTCTTGCTGTCATAGACACTACATGAACCCCAAAAGAGTGTGTGTAGCTCATGTGATAACTTCTTTCTATGAACTGTTATGCTATGAAGAACGGTTAAATGTGGGATAATAGACATAAAAATCAAATTATACAATTAATGCGATACCACTAAAACTTTTGGAGGGGGACATTTTTTAGATTGGCAATGTGGAATTGGTCATTCCAAAGGATTTTCCATTAAAAAGATCAATTTGGGTAGGTTTAATTGGATGGATAAAGACATTCGGCTGTTGCAGCATGATGGCTTTTGAATAAATACATCTGGTTCCAATGGCATGAAAGACAGGCACTGAGTTACATTTTAAGAGCATTTGTGCTCACACATGCTCTGGATTTTTAAGGAGCTATAGATTTGTTACTCCTGCTATGACTGAAAGGGAGATATGAAATCTTTCACCTGGGGCTTTTCACAGTTTGAATTCCTCTTTCAGTGGATGAGGCAGTCTCTTTCATCTACAGTTCCTATCTCAAATGTCAATAAAAGAGAGCCTGCATTTGGTAACTCATTATTTATTAAGATGAAGTTTTTCAAATTCCAACAGCCCTTACTTTGCCAGCGTGGTTACAGCGGATTGCATGGTTTCAGTCTTCCTGGTGTAATCTGGTGCAGCTGACTCGATGAGACAGTGCCTACACAGAGGCCCTGCACCCCCCCATGTGGCCTGTGCCCTGCATGGCCACTGACCGCATTTTCACAGCAGCCCAAGTAGGCCAATGCCGCCATTGCCTGGTGTAAGATGGCCATTGCCTGGCACTCCTGCCACTGCTCTAGTAGAAGAATGACTGGAAGGGACTCAAGCATCCCAGTAGGGCAGAGAAGGTCACAAATGTGGATACTTACTGTAGAAAGAACACAAAGCAAAACAGAATTACTTCTCTTTTTTGAGTCATGATCCAGAACATACGTACATGAGAAAAACTGATATATAAACAATACAAACAGCATTAGACTTAAACAAGCAAAACAACCTAACTGGGCAATGCATCGATGTAATCACACTGTGCATGACCAATGTGCATAATTCCAGGGAATCATTGGTAGGCCAGTCCACTAACTTTTGTGAGACCAAGAAATTTTAATCATATGAGGGGGGACCCAAGAAACCCCAGGAATTTACTTATAAAAAATCATGTGTTTATTTATACATATTCAGACTTCAGAGACCTTCAAAGTACTCTCCGTTTCATGCAATACACCTACCGAGACATATTTCCCACTGCTCAAAACAGGTTTTGAACGTGTCGATTTTGATGCCTTTTAGTGCTTCTGCTGTTCTTTGTTTCACCTCTTGCACATCAGCAAAACATTTCCCTTTGAAGGCTTTTTTTATTCCAGGAAACAAAAACAAACAAACAAAAGTCGCACGGATTATGATCAGGTAAATAGTGATGGTCATGCAAGGGTCATGCTGTTTTTGTTCAAAAACTGCTGAACACTCAGCTGAACAGAATTTCACTGCCTCACGTAGTTCATGTAAATCAGCCATCACACCTTGAAAGAGTATCCAAAAACAACTCACCGAAGTCGAGCGCAGTGTCTCACAACAACCCAGCTGCATACACTGGGTTTCCAGAACACTCACCTAGTGGGAGAAGCCTGCACTACAAGGTGCCCAACACCTCCAGAAGATAATTCCTGGTTTTTTTGGGGTCCCCCTCGTACATATTTCCCACCAAATGTGGAGGGGGGAAATGTACTAAGTTTTCATTGATGCAAGATCCCACACATGCTTATGGATACCCTCTTTAGATTATTAAGGGTGTAATCCTATGCATATGTAGACCGAAAAAAGGTCCACAAGTTCTAACATTCTCCAACCAGCCTCCTCAAAAGGATGATAAGTATTCACACTTTAGTGTCTTTAGAGGTAGGCCCAGCATAGCATCTAATTATAGGCACTCCCAAGTTGAGTAAACATTTTTTGTTGTGTTTCCATGTTCCTAGTCATAGAATATTTATTTACTGATACCAAAGTGTTGCATAGACTTGGCATGAGAAAAACTGCAGGTGTGCACTTCACAACAACCTACCTTGTGAATGAGCTACCTAAAAGACAATAGGGCTCACCATGAGTTGTCTCCCTGTACCTTTCCCTTGATCTTCTCATGGAAGGCACTCTACTGCTGGATCCATCTTGTCTGTTCTCCCCGACATCTCCTGCCACAGCTTTTTTTCCCTCCCCTCCCCTCAAGATTGCTTTTTGTGATCTCTGAGGTGACAGATAATCACACCCCTTTCAAAAGAGCTAGGATACATATTTATCACAAGTATACAATCTTGTAAGTCTCACCTGGGCATTTGGGGTGGGGGGAGGTCCACAGGAACCTACCATAAGCCTTAACCCAGACAGCCTGCAAAAAGCTTCATTTTTCCCTTTGCCTTCTCTGGAAAGCTGTCAAAAGGCAAGCTATCAAGAGAAAGCAAAGCCTCAGGTGATCTTTGCTTTGTAGGTAGCAGCATCATTAGGGTGGGAAAGGTGGATTGGTAACTGACGCATTTCACATTTCTCATGCTTGTGCATCCTTTCCAGGACTCCAGGTGATCTGGAAAGTGGGAAATGATTAGCCAGCCCTTTTATGGGACGTGGAGGTTTGACAGCTTGCTCTCTGGTTCCTTTTAAAGGCATTTCTTAATAGGTCTATTGAGGGTTGCATAATTTTGTACACATTTCTTGGGCTGAGCTATTTTTTAAGGGTGGGTGTCAACTCAGGGATCATGGGAAGTGGCCTATGGGCAAGTACAAAGGCTTGTGCAGTAGCCCATACAAGCCCAGCAAGGCTTTTGCCACTCTTGATGAACGGCTCATTCCTGCCACCCACAATGGGGCTGGTTGTTTGGTTTCAGATGACATGGAAACCCATCATTTGTCCAACAATCCAAAGAACAATTCACATGTTGTGGGGAAGGTATGTTGCCCACAAGCTAGCCAACCTGTGAGACATGGTCCAGGTTCAAAGGTAGCATGTGGGAATGACCTGTTACTCATGATGAATAACGCAGGCAAAGAAATAACAGTGCACATTCGCAGGTGTGCTGTTTCCAAGACAAACAACTACAGAAACATTAACACTTCACTTTTGCACATTTAGGGTTAAATAAATATTTTGTTTCTCAAAGAGATTGTCATCTTGAGCTCTTTCACTGAAAATATTAAATGAAAGATTTAGGGCTAAGCATTCTTTTAAAAAAGTTCCACAGAGGCTTAATTCTGTTTCCACTACACAGAAATAGATCTATCCAATCTTTGAAAAAAAGGAAAATAATTTGTTCTAAATTAACCATGGAACTCATCCTGCTTGCTTCCAGATAGGCCCAAAGCAAATTGGCAAGGAAGGAGAAGTAGAGAAGTTTAGAGTTTTGATAACCGTATTATTTATGTATCAAGCCCAAAGCTGAATTTTTATCAGACCACAAGAAAGAGGAGACCCTGACAATATTGGCAGCTGACTATAGAAGTATAGAAGCACTGTTCACTTCTTCTGTGTGTGTTGTGATGGTTTCCTTTGCTACAAAATGAAAAATTATTTTATAACTACTATAAACATTTAAAATACATATTTAATGTCATACAAGCATGTACTCAGTTTCATTCAATTAAAAATTAAGACAGTATACTACAGTCTCTTAAGGTATTCTTACAAGACAAATTTTCTTCCATTTGCTGTTTATCCAACTTGTTACAATACCCTACTTACAAGAAGGGAGAGACAGAGAATTTTATAATCTTTTTTTCTGAGTTTGAACAGTGCTCTGTAGATGCTGAATACTCCCATGAGCTTTTCATAGAAATGATGCAGAGGAGGAGTTCCTTAAAATACTGAAAATTAAAGCATAAAAACAACCACAGGTTCTCCTGTAATTCATGTATTACCTTTTGAATACGATCAAATTAAAAGATCAGATCTTAAGCAGGAACTATTGAACAATTTTTTTAAACAATAGAAGTACTTCATGCCAAATGTATTGGTTTTGGAATTTTCAGACAATATGGGAAAGCTGAGATTTTAAAAGACAGGGAAAACTTTTGGTATAAAGCCCTGCTTTTCCTATTAGAAACCCAATGGGTGATTGTGAGCTAAATCCCCTGAAATGTACCAAGTGCCAGAGACACCTTCTGAAAACTTGGCAGTCTGTTCAAACAGAAAAAGCACTAATACACAGCAGAAAAAGCGTTTGCTTATATCAAGCCAAATAAACTCTTGTTCTCTGTCACAGGGATCCTGTATCGCAAGTCCTGTGCATCCTCCGCAGCTTGCCTCATGACCTCTGCCGGCTACCAGACTTTCTGCACTCCAGGGAAGATAAACTCTGTTTGCATTAGCTGCTGCAATACTCCACTTTGCAATGGGCCAAGGCCAAAGAAGCGGGGAAGCTCTGGCAACAAGCCCATGGCTGGTGTAGTAACAACCATACTGCTCTCTAGCTTGGTGCTTCTGTCTCTAATCCACTGCTAAACTGTAATGGAAGATTTCTTCGTCAGCATCATTTGTCCTGTTTCATTACCTTCAAGGACACAGCTGGTCTTCATTGTGATGTTGCTGTTTGGTCCAACTGCTAGAAGAAGAGTTTACTTTGAAAATTTTTGGCAACTTCATTAGCAACAGAGTATATCTAGTGGTCTGACTTTCCGGTGTGCACTTCACAACCAACACAAAATCAACTGTCAGCCATACAGAGCCCATGTCCATTGATGTTGCTGGAAATGAGCCCATTGAAACAAGCACTTAAACTTGGAGGTACATCCTGCAGGCTGTAAAGCATTGTTTATTTGCTTTTTAGTTTCCATTGTTAACATATTGTGTGTCATCTGACTTCATTTTATGAGGATTCACAGTTCGTGTTCACAAAGACCATTCTGGTTAGCAGAACCAGGGTCTGTGCTGCTCTCCGGTGGCATCATTTTCACATTCGGCTTCAGTGATTCAAGACTCAATTTCTGCAAACTGCAGTCAGGCTTGGCCTCGCTCTGAAAAGTACTTAAGAAAACCTTGTTAGCAGTCTTGGTGGAAGACTTGCGTCGAGATGACATGAAGATCAATGGGCGCCGGGAACGGCTACTACTGGCTGTGGAATTCAAATTGGCTCTTAAAAACTTCTCTTTGTTGGCATGTTCTAGTGTCAGGTGACAACGGAGGACTTGAAGAAACACATTCCGGAACTGCTGGGAGGAGATATTGTACAGGAGTGGGTTCACCACAGAGCTGAGGTAGAAGAAAATATCCGCCACAGGGAGAAGGGTGATGTAGGCTCGGAAGTAAGCTACTGTCCAGTCTTGCTTAGGTCTAGCAGCAGCCATGATCCTTCGAACTTGATTTGGGAGCCAGCATATGGCCAGAGTTGCAACAATCAGTCCTGCAAGCAAGGGGAAGAGGAAAAAGGAAAGCATGTGAAAACAAATAATAAAATATTTAGTATCAGTTCTGCACTTACTGGCTAGGAAATGATGCCAATTTTTCAGTGTTTTGCCTGACAGCTTCTTCTGCCAGTAGCAAAATTTGTTTGAAGAAAAAAAAAGGCAAGCCACATTTTCAAGGTCATTCCAGGCTGTGTTCTGATAAGTATTATGTAATATTTAAGACAGCCTTTCTTTTGCTCTTTGGCATTGGTCATGCTCGCAGACATTGTTTCAGTGATAACACATTCTTCACATATTGCTGTATTCTATTATTTCTACTCCCCTCCTAACGTTGTCCTCCTCTTTTCATTTTTAAATACAGCCATACTAGAGCAGGCAATACCCAAAAGCTGATCAGATTCCGTTTATATTATACAAAACAAATATGCATACAATTGTATATTTGGTTTTATTTTTGGAAACTTTTCTCTTATAGAAGATATTTTTACGTACAGTATGAATGGCTCTTTTAAAAGAGTATATAATGGGTGTTTGGGGAAGAAATTCTGACTGAATTAAAAGGTAAAGTTAAATGGCACAGGGAAAAAAAAATCTCTTAAGCATACGATGGAGATCTTTGGTAGCCAGGCATTTGTATTCATGTATAAATACATATTTGCTCCATTTCGCTGATATTCAGATTAAGATTACTGTTTCAAGAAATGTTTTATCTTGATCCATAGACAGCCATATCTACACAACAGTAGCTTTCATGTTGTTGGCTGTGGCTGGGGAAAGAGTCCCTAGCCTTTTCTAGAGCTTCATTTGCCCCACCTGAAAAGACTACTTAGCATTTGTATACTGCTTTAACATTTTCAGTGTGACAACACAGTAACCCACAAATCATGGGCTGAATGGGTCATGTGTGGTATGTAGTTGAATTGTGGTTGTATTGTCTGAACCTCAACATGGATCTTATTTGAATTCTTACAATGACCATATGCAATCTGCCATCATCATCATCAACAGCATCATCCCCACTGAAGAGACAGTGACTTTCCTAAAAGTTTGTAGTAGTACTGAGATTTGAATCCTGATTTGCAGCTTAGCTGAGAAGCCACTAGATTACACCTCCTCCAATCAATGTGATAAAATTTATACATGATACTCTGGATAACTGCCAAGGTCTATTAATAGAACATTATTAATCAAGCTTAAGAGGATAATGTATTTGGAGCCTTTTTCTAAAGAACACAGTGGTATGGGAGAAAGAGTTAAAATGTTCCATTTAAACCATCCTATAATATAATTCCAAAGTTTTCAGCCTATTGACCCTGCATTGGTATTCCTTGTTTTGCAGAAAATGTGCCTTATGTGTAAAATGAAACACTTTCTGTAACAGAGATTCCCCAACCATTGCAACATATACCTTGATTTGTGCATTTGGCACCATGTTGTACACTAACACCCCTGTTTGCTTTAAAGCTACTTCGAGGAGGTTAAGTTCACAAAAGTAAAGCTAACCTTTGTTTTCTTGGAAAAAGTACACGTTATGCTTCTTTCTGTTTTTGCCAAAATTAAACTGGACTTGTATCTAATCTCAATGATGCGGAGGCTTCAGGGCCAGATGTTCCATGAGAAGCACCAATGTGCTGTGCCAGGCAGCAGAAAGGAGTGATGAACTGCAGCGGAGCTGTCTGGAGCAGCTGCCCTCCTTCTCACAATGTGCCCCTGACTTCTCCTTCCTGTAGCTGTGGCTTGGACCTTGTCAGGAATTGGTCAAACTCTTGTGAGAGTTAGGCCAAATTATCGCAAAACCCACCAAACTGCTGTAGGAGTGTGATCTTGCAAGAGGCTGAGTGGGCTAAGTTGGAGCAAAGTAGAGCCCTCTTGAAAGCCCCACAGCCTGGAAGCAGCATGGGGCACTGTGTGTTCCCACATGCAGCAGCAAAATAAGTTGGGTTGGGGTAGGAAAACATGACTTAAGGGAAGCAAAAGAAATCAAGAGGACCAGAATTCCTGATTAGGAAAAAAATGCTCTTTTTCAAGAATGTAAAGGAATTTGGTAATGCTGACAGAACAACAAATATGAATGTAAAAATCAAGAGGAGGATAACTTACAGCAGCTCCTTGGAAGAGCCAGGACTGAACATAAACTGTGTGTGATAGTTGTTCTGTGAATCTTTTGATTTGGATACTTAATTTTGGTTAATAAAAGAGATTAATTTTCATAACAATGTGACATTTCCTTGAGACCCAAATCTTTCTGGATTTTCTCCTGTCGTTATGCTAGGCACGTTGCCAGCAAATCATTTTGCAATAGAGGAGGACATCTTAGTGTCTTGAGGTAAAGAAAAAAGCAACAGCTAGAGAACAAGTAAAAATGGTTTTCTCTGGTAAGAAGGCTTTATCTTCATATTCCTTCTTGCTGCTTAATAGACATGCTACATTACCTGTCTCCTATCAGTGACCCACATGACAACAGCCAATATAAGGCACAAGTCTTGCACCAGATACACGGCTTCACTTGCAGCACCTCACGAGTACAGTACAAGCTTCTCACACAAATACGCCCCAAATGTTTTGGACCTGTGCCCATGAGCTTCTAGCATCACATGTAGGAAAGGTGATTTTAGAGATACTTAATTATTTCCAACCTAAAATTCTGAACGCAAAATCAGAGGTCATGGGCGGCGAGGCACCTTTGCACTTTGCTAAAGCCAAAGCATGACAACGAATGTCATGCTGCCAAACACTGGTTTGTGCATATCTGAACCCGTGGCTTGCTGTACATCTGACTTCACAAATCAGTGTTAAGGCCCCTGTTCTGCCTCTTGAGACCACTGCATTATGAATGTATGAAGCTGAGCTCTTAAGAAGATGGAAAACAAAAGCACAGAAGCATGCCGTTTCTGGACATGAAGATTTAGTTTATACAGTCATGATTTGGAGTGATGTCTGAATTGTTCCAGCAGGGAATCACAGTTTGAATAGTCTCTACACAGACAAACTTCTGACCATACACAGTATGACTTGATAAAAGGGTATGGGAGCAATTTTCTTTGGAAGGCTAGTTTTGTTATATCTGCATGCATGTATATAATATATACATATACAAACCCTGTAGATACATACGCTTATACATATTCAAAGCTTCATAGCTATATCTTCAAATTTATAATCTGTTTGTTAAATAAATGGTAAGAGCAAAAGCTCCAAAGATTATTATTCTGATTGCTTCATATGTTAAGGCATTAGTAGAGGTAGAGTGTAGAGAACAAGCAGTGGAGGAGGAGAGGGCTAATCCACACCTCTCAGGGCCCGGTGGCCCCAAGGTCACTGTCAGCTGCCTATGGTGCTCCTGGCAGAAACCGCGGTCGGCCCCTGCACTTCCTCTGCTTCCCAGGCGCTTCAGCCTGTGCCTTGCCACAGCCCTGCTCTTGAAGCACAGCCTTTCAGTCCCCTCGTGCTGCTGGACCATTCCTCATGCAAAAGCGTAGTGAGGTCATGCCCTTCTCCTTGTCTCTCTGTGCCAGCAAGAACTTCAGACCAATGAGGTGACGCATAGGAGAGTTACTGAAGACTCAGATACAAAGTTACTCAATCTTTTTGTTTAAGTAAAGGCTGGATGTGTGTGTGCTTGTGCGTTTAAAATAATGAACCTTGAGAGGCTTCCTTTCAGCCTTGGAGCCAGACGTTCCTTGATGAGTTGGAACAGCATGCAGATAGACAGAGTTATTCAAGTGTCTTAATACTGTAAACAACATGCAATTTTTACATTTAAAAACAAGGCTCTAGTGCTCATGGGTTTTCCTAATGCTGTTGCACCGATGACCAGAATATAAGCACAGGTTTGAGTGTGCCATTGGGTAGAATATGGTGTGTATTGTTTTGCACCACAAGCAGAAGGGCTAGAAACGGCAAAACATGAAGTTGTTCAAGCAAATTTTCATTCACACAAAAGATGTTCCACTTCTTCCTTCGTATGTGTCTCTCAAAATCAGTGCTTGACGTCCCCAGGGTCTGCAGATTTGGGGGCTATGCAGAGGGCTGAGGGAGGGGCGTATGTTTGCCAGATATGATCTGTGACTCTGGGTCTGCTTTACTTGCTACCTTAACAAGGGATACCAAGTTCTAGACCCAAAGGAAAATGTTGATTTTATGTGTGTGCTTTATAACCTGACTTTTTTTTACCAAAAATAAAAAAATCTATTCAAAGATTGCATCTTACAAATCAGTGTAAAATATATTAAAACACCTTACCATAAAACACATTAAAATACCTAGCCATAAGGGAAAGCAATGATCTATTTCAGAATAACAATTTTGACAAAACAAACCACGGTTTATTGGATGGTGAGAGAGGCCCTATGTCTGCATAGGCCCACTTCCCCCTCCAACTCAAGAGAGAGTCGTTTCAACTAATGGGGCAGCATAGAAATTAAATAAGGTAATTCAGTTGTCACGTGGGTTGTGTTGGAATGTTATACCTGGCAACAATACTTCGAGCCATAAGTTCCCATGATTTAATCTACAAACCAAGATATGAAACCAGGATCCCAAAAGTCACTATTCAAGTTCCTTTTCACTCCAGCATCAGAGTCAGGATCCCCTGCCAACTTCCTGGCTCTGCTTCTCTGCATCATGTTGATTAATTCTGTCTGCTCTAAGCCCATGCAGTGACCAGGCAAGAAGAAAGAGCAGCAACCTCACCCTCTCGATGCCATTGCAGGATGAACCCAAGGCACGCCCTGCGGCAACAAGAGCGTATTGCCATCTCTACCCAAACCTGAGCTGGCACTGGGTCTGTTTTATGTCTGAATAGCCAATATATGAGCCTAACTATTTTAGTTAGGGTAATCAAACAAGGAACAATGCAGATTAGAGTCACAGCAAGGGAGTCACAGGGACTTTCCAACCAGCCACATTCCCTCTAAATTCAGCATCAGACACAAGGCAAGTGGTGAAGAAGAAACTCACTGGGTGAGTGAGTTCACACATCATACTCAAGTTCAAA